AAAAATTAAAAAAATTCATTTTTAAGAAGGAAAATAACTTGCTTTGCTAGCTGAATTTGTTAGGTTGAAGTCCTAAATCAAATTGCACTTTTATAAATAAAAATATATTTTTATATTCAACTATCCATACATACAATACACATTTTCTCACTCCCTAGCTCCTAATAGCCAAGGTTTAACAGAAGAAAAAACTGAAGGGCTTCCCTGGTGGCGCAGTGGTTAACAATCTGCCTGCCAATGCAGGGGACACGGGTTCGAGCCCTGGTCTGGGAAGATCCCACATGCCGCAGAGCAACTAAGCCCGTGAGCCACAACTACTGAGCCTGCGCGTCTGGAGCCTGTGCTCCACAACGGGAGAGGCCGCAACAGTGAGAGGCCCCCGCTCGCCGCAACTGGAGAAAGCCCTTGCACAGAAACAAAGACCCAACACAGCCAAAAATAAATATAACAAACAAACAACAACAAAAAAAAACTGGAATCCTTCTTTGGGTTCTAAAATTGGATAACCTAGATGAAACGGACAAATTCCTAGAAACACACAAATTACCTAAATTGACTGAAGAAACAGAAAATCTCACTAGACCTATAACAAGTAAAAACATTGAATCAGTAATCAAAAATTTCCCAACAAAGTCTAGGACCACATAGATTCACTGGTAAATTCTACCAAAAATTTAAAGAATTAACACCTTCTCAAACTCTTCAAAGAAATAAACTAGGAGAACACTTTCCATCTCGTTCTATGGGGTCAGCATTTCCCTAATACCAAAGCCATATTAAGACGATCACAAAAAAGAAAATTACAAATCAATCCGTTGTGAATATCAATGCAAAGATCCTCAACAAAATACTAGCAAACCAAACTGAGCACATTAAAAGGATTATATACCATGACAAAGCGGAATTTATAATAGAAATGCAAGGGTTCAACATAAGAGAAAAATGAATGTAATATATCACAGTAGTAGAAGGAAAGAAAAAAAAAACATACTGTCATCTCAATTGATACAGAAAAGGCATTTACAAAAGCCAACACTCTTTTATTATAAAAACTCTCAGGAAAACTAGGAATAGAGGGAAGATTCCTCAACATGATAAAAAGCATTTATGAAAAAAACCACAGCTAACATTATGCTTCACGATGGGAGATTGAAAGCTTTTCACTTGTAATTTCATGAATGAGACAAGAATGCCTGCTTTCACCACTGCTATTTAACACTGTACTAGAAATTCTAGCAGAGCAATTAAACAAGAAAAAAAATAAAAGGCATCCAAATTGGGAATGAAGAAGTAAAACTATCTGTATCTGTAGGTGACATGATCCTACACATGGAAAATCCCAAGGAATGTACAAGAAAGTTACTAGAGTCAATCAACAAATTCAGCAAAATTGCAAAAATCAGTTGTTTCTATATACCAGTGATGAATAATTAGAAAAGAAAACTGAGAAATCAATTCAATTTACAAATAATATCTATGTGTGGGTTTTCCACACCAAGCAATTCGCCAGTTCTCTGCAGACACCAACTGGGTGCCCTACAACTTATTTCACTTCTGACACTCACTACCCAGAGTTAGCACAGACCCCACAGATTAAAATCTCAATCCCCCTACTTCAGAGGCTAGTCACAAGTTTTGAGTCCACAGGTTACCCATACTTCTGTCTGATTTGGCTACAAACTGGGGGTTCCTATGACCCCATCTCAGGTTCAGTAATTTGCTATAACAGCTCACAGAACTTGGAGAAAAACTTTACTATTACTGGTTTATTATAAAGGATACAAATGAACAGCCAGACCAAGAGGTACATAGGGTGAGGTGTGGAAGGATCCTCAGCACAGGATTTTCTGTCCCCAAGAGTTTGGGATGTGCCACCCTCCCAGCACACATTCACCAACCTGGAAGCTCTCCAAATCCCATCACTTAAGAGTTTTTATGGAGGTTCAAATATGTAGACGTGATGGATTAAATCATTGGCTATTGGTGATTAACTCAATTTCCAGCCCCCTCCCCTCCACAGAGGTCAGGGGGTGGGGCTAAAAGTTCCAATCCTCTATTCACATGGTTGGTTCCTCTAGCAACTAGCCCCCATCCTGAAGCGATCTACAGCCCACCAAGAGTCACCTCATTAGCATAAACTCAGGTATGGTTGAAAGGGGCTTATTATGAGTAACACTCAGGAAATTCCAAGGGTTTTAGAAGATTTTATGCCAAGAACTGGGGAGAAAGACCAAATATATATTTCTTATTATACCACAATAGCGCAATCTAAAAGAATAAAATGCCTGGGAATAAACTTAAGCAAGGAGTGAAAGGCTTGTTCCCTGAAAATTACAAAATATTCCTCTAAGAAATTAAAGAAGATCTAAATAAGTGGAAAGACATCCCATGCTCATGGACTGGAAGACTTAATACTGTCGAGATGTCAATACTACCCAAAGCCATCTACAAAATTCAGAGCAACTCCTATTAAAATTCCAGTGGGCCTTTTTTTTGCAGAAATGGAAAAGCTGATTCTCAAATTCAGTGCATGGAGTCCATGTAATAGGCTGAACTGTATTCCCCAAAATTCATATGCAGAAGCCTTAACCTCCAGTACCTCAGAATGTGACTATATTTGCAGACAGGGCCTTTAAAGAGGTAATTATGTTACAATGAGTCCGTTAGGGTGGGCCCTAGTCTAATCTGACCGGTGTCCTTATTAGATGAGGAAATTTGGATACAGAGAGACCAGAGCTATGCATGCATAGAGAAGAGCATGTGAGGACATAGCAAGAAGACAGCCAGCTCCAAGGCAAGAAGAGAGGCCTTGGGAGAAATCAAACCTGCTTACATCTTGATCTTGGACTTCTAGCCTCCAGAACTGTAAGAAAATAAATCTCTGTTTAAGTCTGTCGTATTCTGTATGGCAGCACTAGCAAACTTATACAGCCCAGGTAGACAAAAAAAAAAAAAACTTAACAAAATGGGAGGACCCACACTTCGTAGCTCACTACAAAGCTATAGTAATCAAAACGCTGTGGACTGACAGAAGGACAGACTTATAGACCAATGGAACAGAAGTGAGAGTTCAGAAACAAACCCATACATTTATGGCTGATTTTTGACAAGGGTCTCAAGTCCAGTCAATGGGAAAGGAATAGTCTCTTTAACAGATGATGCTGGGACAACAGGACTTCCATATGCAAGAGAATGAAGTTGGAGCCCTACCTCATACCATATACAAAAATTAACACAAAATGTATCAAAGGATTAAATATAAGGGCTAAAACCATAAAATTCTTGAAAGAAAACATAAGAGTAATTCTTCACGGCTGTGGATTTGGCAAAGGATTCTTAGATATGACACCACTAGCATAAGCAATGAAAGAAAAATAACACAATGAACTCCGTCAAAAGTTAAAACTTTTGTGTATCAAAGGACATTATCAACAGAGAGAAAAGACAACCCACAGAATGAGGGAAAATATTTGCAAATCATATCTGATAAAGAATTAATAACCAGAATATACAAAGAACTCCTACAACTCAGTAACACCCAATTTAAAAACTGACAAAGAACTTGAACAGACATTTCTTCATAGAAGATATACATATGGCCAATAAACAACTAAAAAGATGCTCAATATCACTAATCATTATGGAAATGCAAATCAAAACTACAATGAGATACCACTTCACACTAACGGGGATGGCTATTATCAAAAAAACCAAAACCAAAACCAAGAAAAACCCCAGAAAGTAACAAGTTTTGGCAAGGATGTGGAGAAACTTGTACACTGCTGGTAGGAATGTAAAACAGTGCAGTTGCTGTGGAAAATAGTACGGCATTTCCTCAAAAAATTAAACATAGATTTACCACATGAACTAGCAATTCCAGTTCTTGGATATACTCAAAATAACTGAAAGCAGGGATTTAAACAGATATTTGTACATCCATGTTCATAGCAGCATTCTGCACAACCGAAAAGCAGAAGCAACCAAAATGTCCACCAAAATATGAATGGATAAACAAAATGTGATATGGGGAATAGGGAGTTATTGTTTACCGAGTACACGGTTTTTGTTGGGGATGAGGAAAAAGATTTAGACATAGTGATGATGGTTACCATAACACTGTAAACATATTTATTGCCTCTAATTGTACAATTATGAATGGTTAAAATAAATATTATATGTTAAAAAAAACTTTACCACAGTTAAATACAACTACCAAAATTCATGGAACTGATGATGGCTAACTCTATGAGAGTGAGTAAAATTCACTGCTAACAGTACTGGTTCAATAACTGAAATTTAGATATTTTCTACAGAATACGTATTAATGAGTAACATAATGAATAACACAGGTTTTAAACACTTTACATTTCTGCAAGCTTTGAAGTCTGTCCAAATAAGCCCTTTCTGCTCTGCATGTATTTCTACCAAAATCAGCTGTAACATTAGCTCAGCCAATTCCCACTTCAGGTTATACTGAATCAGTGATTTCTCATCTTTAAAATTATTCTCAGCTGTAGTTGTTCTATGCAGATTATTCTAGAGGCTAATTCTTTAGACTCTTCAAAGTTGGCATTGACTCTTGCATAACAGCTGAGCAGTACTGGTAACACTTTTTGACTCATCAAGAACCAAGGAAAACCATTCAAAATCATTTGCTTTGTTTTCAAAGCAACCATTCTCACCCAAAGGCTAACACTTTTAAATAAGTTTACTTACTCTGCACACGTTTCTTCCGGAGAAATTAACTCACCATTGGTAAACAGCTTCCCTTGCCTACCGAATGAATGGGCTACCCATACCTTAAAAACATAACATTTAAAGCCCAGTTTTCTCTTTTTCCTTTTTTTGATGACACAATTGCATATGTATTGTTTAAAATGAAAACAGGTGAGTTCACAAATTACTTCTGGACACTGAAAAATGAACTCTGGTTGCTTTTCTTCTGGGCAGCACCTAAACTCTGGCTGCTTTTCTTCTGGGCAGCACCTGAACTCTGGCTTTGCAATATTTCAGGTACATTACAGTCTTCTGAGAGAGGCCCAGTACTTCAGAATCCCTGGGGTGGCCAGAATGCCTCTGGCTTCTTCCGCATCCCGCAAAGGGCTCTCTCCATACTCCTCCTTCAGCCACTGGCGGAACTGATGGACCTGGTGCTCCTCAAACTCCTGGAGCTGCTTCTGGAAGCCCAGGTTGGGGTTTGCACAGGACCTCCCCGCACGCACAGTGCACAGGGCATCTTCCCAGCCGAAGTCGGTGACCATCATGATGTATGCAACCACCAGAGTCACGCTCCTGAAGACGCCGGCCAGGCAGTGAACAAGGCAGCCCTCACCTCGCAGGCGGCACTCGTGGATGAATTTAATACTTTCTTTGAAATGTCGTCAGGTTTTGAGATGGTGAATCCGCTCCTGGAACGCACAGGTATTTAACCCCCTCCAATGTTGGCCTAGCACTCTCGTGCACAGACAGAATGTGTGTCACCTTGTTCTTCTCTGGCATCTCTGAAGTTGCCGATATTCAGGCCAGGCAGGATCTTGTTCATCCCATTCCCCATGGCGGACCAGCAGTCTAGCGCCCGGGGCGTGGCGGCAGGCGCACTGAGGGCATGTTGGAGCGGGCGGGCAGGGGTCACTGCGCGCCCACAGCGTAAACGGCAACATGGACTGACGGCGCCCAGACCTCTCTGTCCGCTGCGCTCCTGTCCCCCGCGCTCCCTGGCCGTCGGTCCGTGGCACAGGCGCCCCTGCGGGAAGGGGCTCGCGGCGCTTCCGCCCCCTCCCAGAGTGAGCCCAACGCCTGCCACGCCGGGCCCTGCCACGCCGGGCCCTGCCACGCCGGGCCCTGCCACGCCGGGCCCCGGGACTTGTGGACATGGTTCCTAGGGGCCGGGCCGGTGCGCAGGGATTATGTCTCCCGGGGGCCGGGGCGCAGGGACATGACTCCTGGGAGGGGGGCAGGGAGCAGGGTGTCTCTTTTTTCTTTAACGTTAAGTATGCACTAATAATTTTTTAAAAATTAAATGTCACGATATGGTGATAGGTATGGCCCTCATAACACTATTGAGTTATAAACGTATAACTGCAGTCTGTACTGCAAAGTGATAACACTGCTGCGTACTGTCTCTGTGGCAACTATTTAATTCAGCCAGTGCATCAGGAAAACAGCCATCTACAATTTGTAAACAAATGAATGTGGCTGCACCCCAATGAAGCTCTGTATGTAGACACTGATTTGAATTTTGTATAGTTTCCACAGGCCACAGTATTCTCCTCTTGTTGTTGCTATTGTTTTAAAGCATTTAGAAATGTGAAAAACCATTCTTAGTTCATGGCTTACCCATAAACAGGCAGCTGCGCATAGTTTGCTGACCCCTGCAGTTGAAAAAGAGAAAATGAGCTTTACTCACATTCCTCACAATTGAATCCGGTTGTTTTCTTCCAGTATCTAATGAGGAAAAGCGGCAACCTCAAGTAAAGTAAAAAGAAAGTTACACCTCCAAGTGCTAGTTCTTTGAAACTATGGATAAAATAAACATCTGACAAGTTTAATTTAGAAAAGAAAACAAACATTTAAAATGACACATAAAAATGGAGTTTTCCTAATTATGAGAGAAAAACTATAATTATATACTAATAAAATTAAAAATATTAACAACATAGGCAATACAGAGAATATGAATTTACAAATAGAGGGGAAAATTTATGCTTCAACTGTTAAGAGCAACAACCTGGGTTTTGATTTGGATTCTACAGAGTGGCTCTGCACCTTTCACTGCCTTGGAGCTATTTTACAACTCTGTAAGTTGTAGATACCTGATAATACAAATAATTCTTATCTATGGACAAATGCAAATAAATAAATTCTGTTGGGTAGAGAGGTTCAGCTGACTTCCCTCCTGTGGAAGAAGTCAGTCTTGTGTCCATTTATAAATTCATTTTTTCAACGTTCTTTTACTCCAAATTTGTCCTTGACTTCTCCTTTGAACTGACTGTAACATCTCAGTTCTCTGAGTTTGTAAAAATGCTTAACATGTGTTCTGTATGAGAGCCATTTCACTTTGTTGAAAACTATACTTTAACACAACTAAGGGCAATATAGAAAAAAAGAAGATAATTACCTCCAAAAGTTTCCTGGGGCACTTTCAAATCTTGAAGAAGCAGAGTCTGTGACACAGAAGGCAGAAGACTCTCTTGTCTATTTGCGAAGAGCATTATCTGACCCCAAACATGGGAGACTGCACCGAGGGCCAGCCAGTGCTAGTCGCTAGGCCGGCAGCTTCCAAACCCAGCTGGGATTGGAACTGCCAGCAAGTACCTGTGAGAACACCTGCGCAGGCCCCACCCACCTCCTGAAGCACAAATCACGGCCCAAATCAGGGGCAGGGCCCGGCCACCTGCTTTTAACAAGCTCCACAGGAAGTTCTAGTGAGCACAGGTCTTATTTTACAGATGAAAGAACTAAGGCCTAGAGAAGCTCCTCGACACTGATGGAGGATAAACAGCTTCTTCGTGCAGCCCAAGTCGGCTCCCTCCTCCTCCCCCGACCCTTCCCATCCCTCATCTTAAGTTATCTAGAGCACAGGGCCTAGAGGTAGAGGAGCCAGGCAGATGTGGAATAGCAATGACACTGCATCCTAGTAGGCAAGTGTGGCAAACATCACAGCAAACAGTCTTGCTGCTGGTTTGGCATTTTGTTAATTTTCTTACCCATTGGTAATTTTAACCCCGCTCTAATTTCTCCCCCCATAGAGAAAGCCCACCCCTTTCCTCATCATTGACACCAAAAACCAAGAGGGAAGGCTTCTTTATACGGAGCTGTATTTAGAAGGCAAGAGTATTTGCTGAGAATGCCCAACTCCACACCAAAAAATGGAAAGAAAAAGTTTTAAGAGAAAGCTCTTCCTTACTGTACAATACTAATAAATATAAAAGTAATAACGGAGTTAAAATATTAATAGATGCTATTAACTAGTGAATGAAAAGTTGAAGAACAGGATATTTAGCCTCGAAATACCTCCTTATAACTTACAGTGGAGAAACCTGACAGATGCCCCTTAATCCAAGTGCTCAAAGTAAAACATCACTAAAACTCACCAAGTATTCTGTGCCTCCCAGTATGATGCATCAAGTACACAGTATCTCTTCTGTCGTACACATCTTCCTCGACTTATGATGCGGTTATGTTGCAATAAACCCATCATAGATCGAAAACACCCTAAGTCACAAATACATTTAATACACAACCTACTGAACATCATAGCTTAGCTGAGGCTATTTTTAATGTCCTAACACATTAGCCTAGTTAGGCAAAATCATCTAACACAAAGCCCATTTTATAATAAAGTATTGGGTATCTCACGTATTGAATGCTGTACTGAAAGTGAAACAATGTTTGTATGGGTACAAAAAAATAGTTAAGTGTATTGGGTTTACCTTTGAGATCACATGGCTGACTAGGGGCTGTGGCTCACCGCCACCACCCAGAATCATGAGCCCTACACCACGTTATCACTAGCCTGGGAAAAGATCAAAATTCCGTATTTGAAGTCGTTTCTACTGAATATATATCACTTTCACACCATCCTAAAGTCAAAAAATCTTAAATCGAACCATTTTAAGTCAGGGACCATCTGTATTCCTACAGAAAAAAGCTCAATTAAATCTAATTGTGAGCCGACATCAAACCCAAACTGGAGGACATTCTACAAAATCAGCCAATACTTTTCAAAGACAGACATGGAAAGAAGGCTGAAGGACATGAGAACTAGATGTAGTAATTCTGGGATGGATTCTGAACCAGGAAAGAAAACTATGGAAGACATTATTGGGAAAATTGGCAGGATTTTACAATGGACTATGGATTAGGTAACAGTATGATATCAATGTTAGATTTCCCAATTATGATCATTGATCTGCGGTTATGCTTGTTCTTAGCAAACTGACAATAAAATATTTGGAACAAAAGGGCCCATCTCTAACCTGATCCTAATGGATCAGAAAAAAAGTGTATAGAGACAGAATATAAAGCAATTGGGGCAAAATGTGAGCTGAGGTCGGGTAAGAGTATTTTAAAGTTCTTTGTGCTATATATTCTTGCAACTTTTCAAGTTTGAAATTGTATCAAAATTGTTACAATTTTTGTACTGCTACAATACACATTTTTAGGATGTTTGTTGCACATATCTGCCTCACAGAACCAGATGTGCAAGGATCAATGGAGAGCCAGACTGACCTAGGTCCTGCCACTACCTTGCAGAGATCTTGACATGCACACGTACACAAACAGGCCCAGCTCAGCCCAGGACAGTCAAACAGAGGAGCCTGTGCTGCAAGCTGTCCTCCCACTGCTCAGCAGGGACCAGCCCAACCCAGCACTCTCCACAACAGAGTTGGACCCACAGCTTCAGCAGCTCCCCAAGCTCAGATCCACCCACCCGGGATCCACCCAGTGGGATCCACCTAGTGAGCTCAGCCTCCCTTGAACTGACACATCCCATTGTGTTTCACTGATCCTCCCCCACACGACCATTCACACTCAGTCAATCTCCTATGCTCCAGGTACTGGCCTCCACACCCATCCTATCTCCCACCCACAGAAAGCTCAACCCTCACACACGTGAGGAGCGTTACTCTTTCAAGACCGGCAGGTTCATTAAGCCAAACTGCATGTACTCAGAAGAGGCTGAAGCGCAAACAAGCAGGGCCTACAGGGTGAGGAGGGAAAGGCATCTCCTGACTTTTGTCTGAAGCCAGAGTGCGTGCTCAGGGCCTGGGAGGACCAAGAAGGGTAGAGCTGGCAACCACAACAGTGATGCAGGTGTCCAGGCTCAGGCCTCCTAATACATCCATAATCTGTATGGGTGCTGCCCATAGGCCACTTACAGATGCGTCACACTGCAGACCGCTCTTCTTCAGGATACTTCTCCCTTGAGAAAGAATTCCTGCCCTTAGCTCCACCGGCACCCAACCCCACAGATGACACAGGCACAGTTGTTGTCCGAGGTTTATTGAAAATATTACAGCACAGCAGAAAGATTCAAACGGCTCCACGTGGTGTTTTGAAATTCATCCCAACTGTAGGCTGAGTGACCTGCAGGTTGGACAGACTGCCAAAGTCCTGGAACAATAAAAAGGGGCTTAGTGTGGCTGTACTGGTGAGATCTGTGTCCAGAGCCCCAGCACCACCATTAGGCTATGCTTCCGTCAGCCTCCACAACCTTGGGGTCAGATTGGTGGGACCCTGCAGAAAACCAAGAGAGCCTTCTCCTCCCCACTCCAGAGCAATAAACTCTGTAGGGGGTCTACCTGCGATCTGAAGGATCCTCCATAGTCAGCCATGAAGGAGCTGTCCTGTGCACTTTAAGACATTTAACAGCATCCTTGGACTCTATCCACTAATGTCTGCTAGTATCCCCCAGCTGTGACAACCAAAAATGTGTCCAGGTATTACCAAATGTTCCCTGTGGGGTGCAAAATCTGTCCCTTTGAGAATCACTATTCTAAGGCATATACAGTGAGACTTCATTTCCAAGACCAGCCCTCAGGTAGGAGGCAT